CGTCGCCATCTTTGTCGAACAGGCTGAACGCCTCTTTGAATTCTAAGGACAAAAACATAGAGCATGGGGATTTATCTATCTTATTTGAACTTCAATTAATGAGCTGTTAAATAAAACGAAAATAGAAGACATCTTAAACTATCACAAAATATATATACTTGGTGTTCGGTTAATTTTCATAAATACTTGAGCTTTGAAAGATATACATATATTAAGCTAACCTTATGAACATCATTTACTTACCATCTATTTGATCTTCTGTGAGGGCATCCGTCTGAAATGACAGGAATGGTAACATATATATATACCATAGTTACGTCTATACATTTGCTACTTCAAGATGTATTTATCTTTTCTTTGCTTAGACCGTTCAATAACTAACAATGAAATGTCGTGACAACTTTGCAAACGTTTAATTGAATTATTACTAGGTCGTACGATAAACATTAAAATGCTGATCTTTTTTTGTATTGTGAACTTTTCCTTTCTTGACAGCAACATCCCTGCCTACCCTACCCACAATGTTTCAATATTGCAGTTGGTTATTCAAATATCAAATCAAATATATTGGCAGTTTTAAGTTCACTTTTGTGATCAGATTTGAAAATATTTCATTATTTTGTTCGATATGAAGATTGAATTTAATGCTCATGCCGAAAGGTGTCTTGTAATTTCGTTACAATGTATCACCTATATTTACATGGTGGGTATCGTCGATGAAGAACACAAATCACCCTTCTGGAACATCTAGTCGCCTTTTCTTGGTACGTTATTATCTTTATAAATGTAGCGTTTTCTTTGATCATGTTTTGCCCTAGTAAACATTTTTTTGTTGCTTTTGATTTTGGTATTTAAAACAATTTACAATTGTCGATGAACTCATGTATAATTGTTATGTGGGTGGTATTTGATTTCAATTGTTTGTTGTGTTTCCTCGGTATTTTAGACTCATTATTGTATTTCCTGGTACATGTATCTGTACTCTGCGCTGATAATACATAAAGGTTAGCTTCTTGAAAATGTATATGGCGATATTGTATTAAGGTACATGTGATCAATATGTCAATGAAAAAAGCACAACTTAACATAGTGTTAAATTATAAGTTTGTTTTAAGCACAAACGGCAATTGAAAATGTATTTTGAAAACGTTGGGTTTCTTTGTCACACGAGTGGTGCAAAAGACTAGGGTCTCGACTCTAAACCGCTGAACACGCTATAGCCACAATGTGCCAAATCAGTTAATCCAACAACGGTGTTCTAAATATTAGTATAAGGAATGCAACATAGTCAGTGCAGCATTCGAACTCAAGACCCCCGATCACTAAACTGCCGCCCTTACTACCTGAGCTACCAGGTGAATGAGCCCATTTAATCCGAAACAAATTTAAGTAGAGGTAATAACTGTATGCACGAGAAAACTTCAGCAAGCTACACTAAAATTCTCTAGTGTTTTGTCTGCAATGCGACATGGGTCTTTAACGAAACGTCGATAAGAAAATACAACTATGGGAATTAGGGATGTACCATGTGAGGAAGAACAGCATTAACCACTACAAAAAAACAAAATGTGGAACCAACAGTTTATTTCTTACAAAAAATATGAAAATAACAAAAAAAAGTGTGGATTACACACACTGTGTAAAATCGACCAATACCAAAATAACAAACCAGGAACCGCCAAGAAAATTAAAAGAATGGTACTTGACTTATAATTTACTGTGCGTATAATCAATATAGACCAAAATATCAAAATGGTTAAACCAGCCTGAACTAATATAACCCTTTAGCACGGTGACGCTAACAAGAGATCGATTATAACATAGCTACTGTTTGATCTCACTTTGTATTGATATGAAATGCCTGCAGTTTATGTTCTCTTGTCTGATACTGTAGGTGACTGATATATAGCTATATATATCTCATACATACCTATAGGCAAAAAATCATGTGTGCTGACTTATGTCTGCGGACACAGTAAAAGTATGAATAAACTAGGTTAAACAGAAGAAAGGCATAACCAAGACAGAAATTAAACGGCGCCATTGCCAAAACAATTCTTGTAATTTCCCTCAGTATTTAGGAAGGTATAATAAAACTAGCATACCGGTAACGAATATTGCCCCTTCCCCTTTCTTAAATTCCGTATTCATTCCAGTAATATATATATTTTTTCAAATTAAATATGTAAAATAGAATGTGTTCGTACAGTCGTTTGAAACAAAAATAGTTATGCAGAAGTGAAATTACTTAATCTAAATATTTACTTACCATTTTCTCTGTGTCTCGAAGTTATGTTCGTCCTGTGAGGAAGCACGGGAGAAGCCTCGTTCTACAATACGGAGTCAAGTCTTTTCTTTCCACATCGATTGTACACTGCTGTTTGTTTAAATACGAACAAGATATGTGTGTAAACTTTCTACACAACTTCAATAAACTCTCTAACAATACAATGCCTGTGTGTTTTTGTTAAACCATGTCCTTCGTACATCGACCTTCGTGAGTTTTTCCGCTGTTTTTCAAAACGTGCCTCGTCAAATGAATGCAACGCTAATACTACTAGGTGCGTAAAATAATCAATGATGTTAGAAAAAGGCTCCCTCCTTAGTATCGCCACACAAAAGATTCTGGTTTGCTACCATGTAAAGCTGTTTTGTAAGGCAGTCATTCAATTGCGTTCGTCCAAGTGATTGTTATGTACATATATATTGTATGAATTCATTTTGTATTAAAGATATCTAACTTTAATATTTGGTTTAGGTGATTATGCTTTTTTCCGTGCATTCATTGAACACTGCCATTTCTGTTTTCTACTGTAGTCCGGAATTTTGAATGTCCATTGGGATCAGTGTCGATGTACGGCACAATCAGATATATTGGCCTTCTATTCTACATATGATTTCTATGCATATTGTCTTGTTTTCCTATGATAAACGGATAACAAAAGTCACTACATTTGAATTGACATATAGGCGATCACACGTTGTAACATTAACATAAAGCTGGTTGTTAGGGGCCTGATTACCCTATTGACTGGGATGTCTATTTTTATTCGTGTGTGTATTACTGCTTTATCATTCATGGAGTTGATAATTTCCAATCCAGAGTAACTCGTACAACGTTCCTAACTGCAATATTTGTTATTAGAGAAATAAAGTTGGAGATCATTGATTTAGGTTTTAAGTTTAATTTCCTGTTTCCTCCGTGAAGGGCTTCACCTTAACAATGGAGTTCCATGGAAGGTCGATATTACAACTGGGTGAAATATGATATGACGTTGCCTTGAAAAGTACAATATGTTATGAGCTTATAAATTTTCCAAAAATTAAAACAACAAACTCCTAGCGGTTTTGTAATCATGTCTCAAGAACAATGTAAACAATGACTACAGTTTGTTGAAAGCGCTTTCAATTTATCGCTGAAAAGTGACATTTGAACATTGAATTGTTGTGCACACGCAAAGACCTGCATATTACATATAAGGAAAAAAGTACCTGCAGATGTATTCGCTCAGAAAATGTTTCAAAGTTCTGAAATAATGACACATTTTATCAATTGGATATATCACAACTGATCATTAAACTAAAAAGGCTATGTTAAGTCAAATTACCTGAGCGAGAGCCTGTTTTGAACAGTGTGAAGGTAAAAGATCATACAAGTTGTGTTTCACCTTAGCCAGCCTTGTTGCGTTTGTGTTTATTTGTTATACATGTATACTGGAAACACCTGTCATCATTCTGTCAACATTTAAATAGTTTTCTTGCAGTTTCGTAATAAACGCGACTACATATATTCCTGATGGGTACAGGTACGGGTAATAGTTTTCGTTGCATGTATTTGCATTAACCAAGGATGCGCGTGTGCATGAACAGTATTTTCATCAAACTGTTTCAACAATGGACATACTTTACATTTTTCTTAATTGTCGATTACCAAACTACTTTAACTTTATTTATTTTGCACACATGAAATACCTTAACGTTTCACTCAATTTATGTAATCAGCGAACAATCTCATCCATAGTATTGTGGTGTGCATTATAAATGTGAGATACATTAAATATTCAGATTATTCCATAACAAGGAAAGCAATTATAAAAAAAGTTTCCATGAGTCTCCACTCCACTATACATACGTATCTGTTTGTTAACAGATGTTTATACTCGCACCGATGGTATTTGACTTACATTGTATATGTACATCGCGATTGTAAATGAGAGGAGATAGATTTATAAATAATTCAATTCTATGTATGCTGCTTATTGAAATACACTGTTTAATAGTGAGCTTTGGAAACATGTTAATACAAGGTAAAGCAAGTCCTGCAATTATAGGATAATTGTTTTCTCTTCCACGCTTGCTTCATGAAATGAATCTCGTAATTACACATATGATTGATGGTTGTTTTAAAAATGAATAAAATAATATGCATTTGTAGAGGCTTTACAGTGACTTGTCCACAGTTGATAAAGCAATTGATTGAAGTGGGTGTTGTCTGCTGATAAGTGTTAACAATCATAAGTTAATAACTTAACATGCTTAATTACATGTTATTTGTCGGTTAATGATGCTGATCACACAGCTATTTGGCTATTAGCTACTTAATTACGTCTAATCACGTTCCCATCGTTACTATTATTTCAGTCTGAGTTTTGACGTGATGACAGAAACATGTATAGGTATATATCATAAGTTATCTTTCTACAGCATTTAAAGGATCCCGTACCGATGCCAACAACTGTAACTATGCATTACATTTTCCCCGATATTAATATAGCATCAATAAATTCCCTCTAAACAGAAACCGTAACCTTGCGGAATCAGTGTATAATAAAGATTTTAAAGGGTGTTTCTGAGTATAATAATAGCGCCACGGGGTCAGGCCAGGACTGGAACCCCTGACTGTCGATCATTATACTGCCATTGTGAGATATGGATTATTAAAACAACAGAATTTGAAACTGATGAATGTGAGTAGGTGAATAAGTTGTTAATTTTCAATCATCATGAACCTGAATATGACGAGTTACATGTAATATTACCCCTCATCCAACGGTGAGTAGAATCGTTCACCTAATGACTTGTGGTTATTTAGCTGTAAGGACTCGTAACTGAGTTCCACAAAAAAGACACTCATGTATACTCGGTTAATCCACTGTAAGTGAGCGTTTGGTTTGGTGTTATATTGTTTAACGTCCTATGAAAAGCTAAGGTCATTTAAGGACGTGCTTCCATATGTGTTTTGTAAGCGTGCATGTGTGCCGTGGAAGGCAATGTTGGTGCCTCCTGGTGATAGCGCGGATCTTATGCCGACTTTACAGTGCTTCAAATTTTTATCACTGAAATACCATCCCAAAGACACTAAGCACAGCATTCCGCCCGATCCCACTGTATTGGCAACGGGTGAACCAGTTGTTGCCATAACCCGCAAATGTTGAACGTTAAGCAGGAAATAACAACTATCATTTTTAAGGACATTTGTATGTCCCGGCCTGGGGACAGAACCCATTGCCTTCCTCACC